TGCACTGGTCGCAATGGAGCTGGCGCGCTACCACATCGATATTGCGGCGCTCAGTGAAACTCGGCTCGCTGAGCAAGGTAAGTTACATGAAGCAGGTGCTGGCTACACATTCTACTGGGTGGGGAACGCCGCCTCAGCACCACGTGAACATGGGGTCGGATTTGCAATATCCGATCGCCTCAATGGCCAGCTGGTGGGTGAACCAACGGGCATCAGCGCGCGACTGATGACTGTTCGCCTACGACTCGGAAGAGGTAAGTTTGCTACTTTTATAAGCACGTACGGTCCGACCATGTGTTATCCTGATGACACGCGTGATCAGTTCTACACTGAGCTATCCTCCGTGATACGGTCTGTGCCGAGGAGCGACCGACTATTTCTGCTGGGTGATTTCAACGCGCGCGTTGGGCGTGATGCATCAGCGTGGACAGATGTTATCGGTGCGCATGGCATTGGTTCAGCGAATGCGAACGGTGACAGGCTGCTCTCACTGTGTGCCACTCACGGCCTGACGATCACGAACACTCGGTTTGCACTGAGTGCGAGTGATATAGCAACTTGGACGCACCCACGGAGTGGTCACGCTCACCTGATCGACTACGTCATTATACGTCAGCGTGATATGCATGTAGTGCGCATGCTACGTGTACTGCGCGGAGATGTGTTGCACTGATCACAAATTGGTGCGGACCAAACCGCACATATATTTTCGTAAATCTATGTTTTGCACTTTCACCGTAAATCGGCGTAAATTTGACATTTTCTCCCTCGGTACTGTGGAGAAATGTATTGAGCTGGAGAAGGCGGTGGCTGCACGCCTGTGTGATGTGGAATGCATAGCCGCGGTAGACGACCTGTGGCACCACATTCGCGACCAGGTGACAGCTGGTGCCGAGGAGACCATCCGACGCACAAACTGTAAGCGTTCTGATTGGGTTGTTGAGAACAATGCGACAACTGGCACCTTGGTGTGTGAGAAGAATGCAGCATTTGCTACACATGTGGCAGACCCCAGTGACTTGGGGAAGAGAAAGTGTGGGCGAATTCGATGACGAAAGACCCGAGAGCTCCGTCGCATAAAAATTGCATGGTGGACGGAGAAGGCGAAGCAGATGAAATGCTACGCCGAACGTCGCCAACACAAGAAAGTTGTTGACTCTTGAAGGCGGTGTATGAACTGAGGTAGCATCCACTGAGGACGCTAATCGATGATGGTTTAGCCGCTACCTGAACACAGACTGCAGAGATAATACAGATCTGGCGAAAACACTTTGACTGTCTCTTAAACAACGGTTCAGAGATTGACTGGCCTAAATTGAACGGTCTGAAGCAGCACTGTGTGAAGGTGAGTTTGGTGGACACACCGACACTGCATGAGACGCAGAGAGCACTTGCTCAGCCGGTGCCGACGGGATCCTGTCTTAAGTATTGAAACACGGCGGACCTGCGTTGGTGACTGCGCTGCACCACTTAGTGCAATGCTTGTCGATTGAGCAGAAAGTGCCTTCTGAGCTGAAGGATGCCCTTGTGCTACCACTGTATAAGGGCAAAGGTAGCAAGCAATGTTGCACGAATTATCGTGGCATTAACTTACTGCGTGTTGTGGGTAAGGTGGTTGCCCAAATCCTACTTCACAGCCTCGTCAGTCAGGTTGTGGAACCTAACGTGGCGGAAGAGCAATGTGGATTCCATTCGGGTCGCAGCACTATAGATATGGTGTTTGCGGCTTGGCAGTTTCAGGAGAAGTGTAGAGAACGACACCAGCCTTTGTACTCGCTTTATGTTGACTTCACCAAAGCATTTGATACAGTGCACCGCGTGGCATTGTGGCTGGTGTTGGGTAAGTTTGGTTGTCCGCGTAAGTTTGTAAGTTTAATTGAATGTCTGCACAGTGGTATGCGGGTGATGGTGCAGCTGAGTGGAGAGACCTCGGATGACTTTGCAGTTGTCTCTGGTGTGAAGCAAGGCTGTGTCTTAGCTCCTGTCCTGTTTAATATATATCTTCATACCATGCTGTCTTGTGCTTTTGATGCCGCTTGTGCTTACGGTGTTCGTGTGGAGCACCGTATTGATGGTGGCTTGCTGAACATCTGTCGTTTCGGTGCGCGAACCCTAGTCTGTGAGCCAACAATAAGTATGTTGCCGTTTGCTGACGACTGTGCGTTGTTTGCACACAGCACGGATGAGTTGCAGCACATGCCTAGTGCTCTGGCTACGACAGCAGCCAAATTCGGACTCGCCATCAACAAAAGCAAAACCGTCTGTCTCTTTCAGCCTTCACTGGAGGTGCAATCTTCAATACTGTCGCAAACCAGCATTGGTGCTGAAGTATTAGAAAGCACCTCTCGCTTCTGTTACCTTGGGAGTGTGATGTCCACTCCAGCAGCTTCTAAGTGAGCTTAGTATCGTCGTCGCTAAGGTACCGGCGCATACAAGAAGCTAGAGTACCGAGTGTGGAACAACCATTAGGTTACCGTTGGCACGAAGCTGATGGTGTATAAACCCATGATGCTGTCTGTTCTTCTATACAGCAGTGAAACGTGGACGATGTACCGGCGGGATGTGCGACATCTCAAGCCGTTCCATCAACAGTGTTTGCGACGGAATCTACGCATCGGTTGGGGCGACAGACTTGCGGACATGGACGTGTCGCTTAGAAGTGGGATGTATGCAGCGGACTGCATACCTTTACTGAGACACCTGAGGTGGCTCGGTCATGTGAGCCGTATGGATTCGACGCGGATACCGAAGCAGCTATCACATGGTCCAGTGTGTTTGGGGAAGCGGCATGTGGGGAAACCGAAGTTTTGTTACCAGGACATGATTAAAGTGAGCCTCTCACGTTATAATCTTGATTGCGTGTCACGGGAATCGAAAGCGGTTGATCGGCGTGCATGACGCGATCACGAAGGCAGTTGCCGAGGTGCAAGAGAAATCCCTCGTGCATGCGGAGAAGAAGCGGCAATTGCGGAAGCGACAGGCACCGATGGGTTGTACTCCATCGACAGCGAGCGCATGGTGCTGTAGCACATGCAGTCGCGAGTACCTGAGTCGGGCAGTCCTAGTGAGCCATGAGCGAGGCCACGCTGGGCCAACACCGAAACGACGACGAATCCTGCGGAGAACGTAAACATAACCGCCGCAGCGTTTTATAGATGCGCTGGGTTCGATTTACTAACCGCGTGCTTGCATGCTGAGTCTTTATATTTTATGTAGTGGGTTTGCTATCGCGACTCAAAACATTTGTTTTTTAACTCATCTTCATGTTTACCTGAACTTGCACACGTTGCGTAAGCTAATCGTGGTTAAGTTCACTAACCTTTTCACCTTTGTGGCATTTTTAAAATATATTTTCTTACCTCTTGCTTTTACCGCGGATTTGTGGGTAACCAATTTATGACATACCCTTATTTCGTGTAGATTTATGTCAGCATTTTCGTATGGTTTATTCCATATATATTATTTGCTATTCTCATTTCATGTGATTCTCTGTTGTTTGACATCCCCGGTGTGGCTGCGCTTGATGTGCATGTTGCCAAGGTGCCTACCTGTCTATTACCCACTACGTCGTCCATACTGGCTCTAGGAGACAGCTGGTCGTTGCTGGAGGGGACGGGGTGCACGGTCCTTGTGGTCGCGCTAGAATCAAAGAGTGGTTCCATGCACTCAGTGTGGAGCGGACTACTGTCCAGCGGCGTCCTTGTGTGTGATTGATTCCCCAAATACAGCGTGCTTGTGTTTACCTGTGAAGGAGTGTGGGCCGGCTCCGTTGATGAAACGTGGCCCCCATCCGCATGCCTCCCGGTCTTATTCCTTCGAGTTTACACTGGATATGAGGTGTGTGGTTGGGGCTGTAAGTGATGCAGCGCAAAGCACTCATAATCCCTCTGTAGACGCAGACGTCCTGTGGCTGTCCTATGGAGGTCACAATGTCAAGCACCTCCGGAACCGGATGCCGTCAACCATCCTTCAGAATGGGATGTTATTTTTCAATTTACATTTCACAATATAGAGCTGCAACTCAATGCAGCTTAGCGGCAGACATTTGGAATCAGTACAAGAGTTTGAGATAACTCACAACCTTTATGTGCTCCGTCCATTTGTGCAAAATAACCACGTTATCTGTCATACTCCTTCGACATCAAGTGTAAGTGGGGCGGAAGGCGCGTTTGGCTTTGAAAATCACAAAGATTCGAAGCAGTGAGCTGCCTTTGAGTGAGCAGATTAGAGATTCGCCGTACTATTGTTTCACTTCAAGACTGATAAGCGCAGGCTCATCTTTTGGATAATTTCACACTCGTTTCGTCGAATTACCATGTTATTCGGATGTCGACCTATATTTCTTTGTTTGAGCCAACTGATTTAGGGTGCTTTATGATGAGGTATACACCTCCTAGCTTGCCGTTACGATTCTCCTTGTTTGGCCCGGATTGTAGCATTTCTTCGGGAGTTGAGGGGGGGGGGATCGAAATTGACGGCTGACAGAGCTGGTTAGCAGAAGTGAACTGGTGTTCGTTGGTTTCTTAGCACTGTAACCTTCTAACTACGGAGTCCCAAGCTGCGCGTGAGTGCGCACTCCGTAAAGTTTGTCTTTGTTTCAAGTGTTTTCTAAAGATGATGGGAATTCAAACGGCTAGCTGGGTGATCAAATAATTATCATCAGTATTGTGTATTAGTATGAACGACGACGTTCAAATAATGATGACCACATACTACCCCATTTCCAGTGATAATTTCCGACAAAGCAGTGACTTCTCTACTGGGTGGTCTGTAGTTTCATTCCATTATCTCAGAATCGTCTTATTACTTGCGCGTATACCAAATCGAACTTATATAGGTCACACTGCGCTGCTGAGTAACACGTGATTAGGAATTCTAGGCTCGCCTTCCGTGGGCCATATGGGTGTATTTGAGGTTTCTATGTGACGTGGTTGTATTTTCATGCCACACTGGCAATGAGCCATGCGACCATACTTTCATGACCACAATATTCATTTCAGCTTCCGTCCAAACCATCAGAGCTACCGCAACAGTTAGGAAACAAAACCGAGTGTGCGCTGTTGGGTTTTGTTCGTCACCTCGGCGTGAATTACGACGACATTCGAGAGCAATGGCCACAGGAGTCACTACTCAAGGTCTACACGTTCAACTCGGTGCGGAAATCCATGAGCACTATTGTGAAGGATTTTGAAGCTGATCGTCCAGGTATAACGGTGTTTACTAAAGGCGCATCTGAAATGGTGCTGAAAAAGTAAGTATTTAAAATAAAGTGATCGATCGGACACGGCACAAGAATATCCATGTTGTCATTTTATGCTTCGCAAAATCCTTTTTGACACTTTAGTTAGACATCCTAAAAGTTGCTTTCTCATGCGCCGCAGCCCCCATTGATCGTATCCGGCAAAAAGTTTACCTTCCCTGCCTGAATTGTACTTCCAAGTGCACTGCACTTTCTAGGGATGAAAAGTAAGGAGTCGTGGTAGCGGAACAAACGATGTTTTAGGAAAGATTGCTAGGCTATTTTCACGGTGTGTCAATCAACACAGAGTTTAACTGGGGCTCTACAGTTTGTCCGAAACCTTGTTTTACTGATTATCCCATCCGTTTAAATGACTGTCATAGGTGCTGTTTTTGTGATGCTTATAGTTACTAATACTTATAAATAGTAATTAAGTCCATTGATAAATTTGGGTTTTATCGTGCCTGTGAAATGTAGTTTATCCAGTGAATTTAGTTTGTACACCAACTGCTTGACCTCCACGAGACATCGACTAAATGTTACTGCATAGGTTCACGCTGGGTTGCAACAACAACCAAAAGGGCCTATGGATCAGGCATAATTACGCAAAGGAACGGTTTATGCACGCATGCAGCCCGTTTTTCATCATGGACCAGATGTGTGTGAGTGTTCGGAGGCGCATCGCGCAACACGAGGCGGATTGCACCTTAAATGAGTGATAAAACGATACATTGTGTGTCCATCGATCGCAAGGTACCCTAGAAACGTGAATCATGATCGGGGAATCGTTTAACCAAAAATATTTTCTAACGATGTGAAGTTGTTCTTTGGAAAGTGCACATATAATGTCTTTTAAAGCAGAGTTTGTTGGCAGTGGTCCAGCGGTAAAATTGATCTCTAGGAAAGCCAGTTGCGATTCATCATAAACGCTTTGGACTCAATGAAATACGCTTTATTTTGATTGTGCAAAAGCCATAACATGTCCATGTGATTTAATTTAAGCCACATGTACCCGATTGGTGAATATATCTGAACTTACTGCCAATTGTCATCTTTAATTTTCTCATATTTTAAGCTTAATTCCATCATTTTTGCAGCCTAATTAAATGAAACTTTTTTGTCATTAGGTGCGATTTTATCTTAGATGCAAACGGTGAACCTCAGCCATTTACAACATCTCAACAGGAAGAGTTTGTCCGAAATGTGATCGAACCGATGGCGGGCGCTGGGCTAAGGACAATTGGAATAGCCTACAAAAGTTATTTGAAACCAGGTAATATTCACGTTCAAATCCAGCGTTTTCGTGCCATAACTGGGAGGAGTACAGTCAAGACACCAATAGGTGTTTGTGATCATATATTTTATGGAGCTCGACTACCTGAACACCATATTCAATTTTCTAGCATTACTACAAAATTAAATCGACCGGACACATTTGTTTATTGTTAATTTAGTATATTTTAATGACTGGCAAACAGTTTCTTCCGAGTGACCAGTATGCTACATCAATTTTCGATGTGGAGAGTCGAAAATTGCCGGGTCCATACATTTCATTTCACAGCCACTACCTAGTGATATCGATCCAGGATAATACGGTTCTTAGCTGGTGGCTGTGCTCCTATTAAATGTCTATACCACATTGAAACGGTAGTGAAACGCAGCCACGTTACTGGAAATGTTGACGTGATCTGATGACGAGCTACAGAAAGACTAGTTGAGGCCAATTTCAGAGCATTCATTCCAATGGTACGTATGAATCGGCTCACAAGAAGAGCAAAAATATTACGCCTAAAATTTCACCTGCTGTATCAAAACTTCATCAGGTAGTATCCACAGAAGTTCTCAAGAGAATTATGTTGATCCCTTCGTTGTATGTATTGGCCATATTGTCCATCCTTTCAACTTAATATAGTTATTGGTATCAGAAGTAGAAGGACGTTTTACTTTAATAGATATTTTAATAACAATGTCTATCTCATCACGAAGCAAAGAACCATGGGAAACTTGCATTTTATCCTTGGTAGATTTCGTGGCTAACGCAGCAACAGCCATTATTGTGACTGTCTGGTAGCTTGGCGGTTAAGGTTGGGAACTTTATTGATTTCCAGCTTTAGCCATGTGGTTACTCGCCGAAGCTACTTCGTTTTCCAATGAAAGGAAAGTTGGTGACCCAACTCCCATTTTGTCGCAGCTGATCCGAGATCAAGGCATTTTACTACCGCTGGTTCCTAACACAGGTGTGTTCGGTGCATAATGTAGCTCAGATAATACGTAAGAAAAAGTTGTTCAACATATACATAATTTTGTGTTCACTTCTTCCCTAAGGTATCTATCGATTCGAAATGATACATAGTTACGTGGTTCCAAGCTGAACGTATTTTGCTGAAATTCGACAAACTACTGATTACGCATTGTCAGCAACATCAGACGTTACGCATATTTCATGGCAATCATCATCCTCTGCACGCTACTCAATATCCTCCCAGCTGGAGACTAGTTTCGACACAATTTATAAAACGGCAACATGGTAAAAACACTCCAAATGCTAATACTGCTCAATTTTGCCACACGGTCGCGAGGTACAATGTGCAATGATTTATGAAGTTTCCATCCTCATACGGAGGCCATTGGTGCATATATTACACAGCACACAGGGTAGATAGTGTGAACTTCCATTTGCATCTGCCCCAACGGCAATCATTGGATCTTCATTGTTTCATACGACGATTGCTCTATACTGTTTAAACGAAGAGGAAACTACCTATTCCGAACGGTCAATGATCAATCCACTCCCAATTGATGTGGACGAGTGCAACGTGCTTCACATGCGTCAACAGCAAAACACCACATACACACCCCCAGACCACATCTTGTAGACTGTTTTATGAGGCGAGCTAGTGGTTTAGGATAACATGGGGTCAAAAATGGGAAACAAACACCTTAGTCTCTAGTGGAACAAAGGAATAATGGTTGGTAGATTGCGGGTAAAGTATTGCCTAACTAGCCCCGTGGGATTGGAGAATTAAGAAACGAAAACATGATGATAAACTGCAATGCACTATGTTAGACTTACCATGGTGTTCGCATTGAGCCATGTGTGAAAGAGCCGTGATCCTCATATGACAATATGTACAAATCCAGCTGGTCAGAATTTTGGAAACAACCCGTTTGTTTGCGTTATGTGTCCTTCGGCTGCCACAAGTTGTAAAATGGGAGATGCGTAAAACAATTCTTCGTCAAGTGGTTTCTTAACTATCGTAAGTTGGAGTCAGAAACAACATACGTTGGGATCGCATTCCACATCTAACACACTAGATGGAGGAAGAAATTTCATTGGTATTCCAGCCGCCTATAATCTATTGTCACTTTTAACTGACTTTAACTCTTAGTTTTGTGCTGTGGTCCAGTTCAAGGAGCGGACGGCAAATATGGTTAGGTTTTCAGGATCTGTCTATTCTTCATGAGGTCCTCCACAAGGGGCATTATCGACTCCTATACGTTCGTGTGGAGTTCGTTTCAAGCTGGTAAGGTAGCTGGAGGAGGCGCTTATATTTCTTAGATACACTACGTTAAGGAATCTCGAGTGCAGCGACATGTTGCTTCTGCTACGGGTGCCAGGCCTGGATGGTGTATTCCATGTGCGATCGCACCTAGGCTTTAAGCATTTGTGCGGATATTGAGGGATCAAACCCACCAAATGTACTGCGAATAAGGCCAAAGTATTGATTGCCGATGCTCGACGCCTTCGCTGCTTATTTTGAGTAGCCGCGGTCGTCCTGGACCAGTATCCCAAGTTTACGTCCCTGAGAGACATTTTGCAAGGGTTATCTTCCAAGTTTGTGCGCGCTTACCGGACAGCAACGCAAGGGGATCACCTTGCACTTATCTCTGTCAAACTTGTGTACTTTCCTCCTTGACCATTCACGAACGCCAACCAGCTGCTCTTGGAGGAAGTCATGATCTTCGTCGCTAATGATCGCTTGTCATACCTTAAGGTCGTTGGTGAAAAGCAAACAAGCAGTGATAACTCCTGCCAAATCGTCGATAAACACCAGGAACAAGCGCGGCCCTAGCACTGAGCATTCTAACGTTGTTGAAGATTAGTAACCAACGAACGGTCGTTCTTAAAGATTGTTTCGCTTACACCAGACCGGAAGTCTTCGGTGACTCGGATGAGATGGAAGAGTTTTCTGCTATCATCAGAGAGACTAGTAAGTTCCGTCTCTCTAGCCCGTTCACACCGCCAAGCTTCACGGTCCTTTTGCAAACTTCCGCGCATTTTTCGATCCAGCGATCGATCACTTTGACTACAGCTGATGTTGGCCGGGACAGATGGTCTTCTGTCAGTCGGCAACAGGGAGACAGCAGTGATCCAGCTTTTCGTTAGATGACGGGCAGCTCCACAATTAACAATGCTGACAGCAACTAAGGCATCTTTGATGCGCACCCATTATGAATTCGGATCAGAAGCTGAGGCAAGCAGTGTCGATGGAGAGGCCTAGTACTTGGATAACGTCTCAGCTTCCGGTAAATTTTAAGCGTTCGGCAAATTGTTCGTATGCTTGGGCGATCCTCCGAGCTGTATACAAACCTTAACACAAATCAATGCCTGATCGGAGTCTTGACAATTTGAGCAGCACAATCGGAAGTCTGTTACACTTCCACGCCATCTGTAGCTTATTGCTATGTGGTCAAACTGGGACCACTTTTGCCCTTGAGAATGCGGGGGCCAAGTAGAAGTCTGCCTATTTGAGTGTCGAAAACTGATGCTCGGAAGAAACAAGCAATGATCAGATCAAAGCGTCAGTACTCTGTTTCCATTGTCTGATCGATTACTACCGAAGCCAAAACTTATCCCAAGATGATGCTTGCTTAGTGGCAGGCGGCCCACTCGTGCTTTAAAATCGCTGGCAAGAATGACTTTGTAGCTGAACGCTGATGGTTGGTAAAAAGCAATCCTTGACTGCATCCGGGCTGCATTTTGTAGGACCGTTGACGAAGACGACTAATGAAGGGCCTTTAACATCTCGACGCTTACTTAACTTACATGAACCTCGTAGTCTGACAGCACACAGCCAACTGTTGGCTGGGATCCAGTCAAACAGAGCGGACTCAGGCTTGTCACTTAGAGCAACCCCAACATCAGAAGCGGCAGCCTCTGGATCCACGCAAAGGCGCCAATGGTATTGGAAGACAGGGTTTGCCGGAGAGGTCCTCCTGATGACGGTACTGGAGTCTTGCAATCTGGTTTCCGAAAGGCTGCAAATCTCTACCGAGAGCATCTCAATGGTGCGGGTCAGGTAAGTTTGCCGTTCGGTCTTCATCAGAGTGCAAACGTTGAATGCTGCCAGGCCGAATGGAGAACCAAGTCGAAGAAAAGCTGGTGCGTCGGTCGAGTATGAAAAGGTTGTGATCGCCGAGCACCAAGCGTTTTACTCTTACTTCCATCAGATGCAGTCAATGAGCTGCTATTAGTGGTCACTAGAAAAGTGCATAGGTACAGTTGAAGAACTTGGCGTGGGATGATGTGTGAATGGAGGTTGAGCAATGGAGGCGGTATAGCCAGTAGGCATAGCAAGAATGAAGACAGTAGTAAAATCCATCCATGATTCGTCAGTGAGCGCGATACTACTCGGTTGCCCAGGCCGAAGCACAGGGCTGTCTTCGGGGGCCATATCCCGAGCCTTTTATCTAGTATCTAAGCTAAAAAGCAGCAGGGCGACATGAGGGCGTCGCATTGTTTTGGAAGCCGGTGACGAAACAATTGGTTCATACGTCTTTAGTTCCTGCAAAGGACCAGGGGCCAAGCACACCCTTTATTTACAGTGCCACTCTGAGATAAGCAAGGAACAGTGACTTTATTTAGTGGTTAGTCACATCCGCTACATCACAGTGTTGTTAAAGGGACATTTGTGAATTTTCTAGCAAGACCGCTTGCCAAGCGAAAACCCAACACGTCATGGGACCCTGCCGCCGAACATTTTTCTAGAACGGGGCAACCCGAACCACCCAGTTGGCACCACGAGGAGATTATTTGGCAATCTAGCAAACGTTGATTTTAGCCTAGAATGACCCTTTGGAGTGCAAGCTTATCTGTCATTGCATCGGAAAACGGAATAAATGTGTACCTGACTCTACGCTTAGTGCTAGATACCAATCCCTTCTAGACCTCTTGTAACTTGTGCAAAAATATATAAGTGAGCTTGAACTGCCCGAAGGTCCCAGAAATACACTCTGGCCTCACGTTCATAAATAAGTGCTGACTCACTAATAATCGATCAGAACAATTACAACGTTCCCGTTTGAAACGCGTCGTAAAATGATGTGATGTTCAGGTTCACACTTAACTATCTCGAAAAAATCATTGGGGTCAAATTAACCGGAATTAGCCCGAGATCATTAAATTTCTGGTCTTTTTGTTGATGGCTCTTTATTCTTCACGTCCATGT